CATATCATAAAAAGAAATTTCAGAAAAATTGATTAATATGGTATAATAATATTCTGCAATTATTTGCTTCGAATCAGAATAAAACGAAAATAAATTCGCCTCATGAAAAGAAATTTCAGAAAAATTGATTAATATGGTATAATAATATTCCGCAATCATTTGCTTCATATCAGAATAAAATGAATTAATACTAAAGGAAAGCAAAAATAAATTCCCTCGTAAAAAGAAATTTCAGAAAAATAGATTACTATGGTACAATAATATTCTGCAATTATTTGCTTCGAATCAGAATAAAACGAAGATAAATTCGCATCATGAAAAGAAATTCCAGAAAAATCGATCCATATATTATAATTATATTTTGCAATCATTTGCTTCAAATCAGACTAAAATTAACTAATACTAAAGGAAAACAAAAATAAATTTCCTCGTAACTCGAAATTTCTATTCTATTACAATCGTTCACTTCGAATCAGCACCAAAGGAAACCATAAAACGAAATTTCACGAAAAATCGTTCTCTTTTAAATAAAATCACAATAATCCTACCGTAGAACAATTCGCCGACAGTATTACACTCGACCAGCAATACCCAAAGAAATATACGATCTAATACGAACTATGCTACACTATCGCGAGGTATGCGAACCAAGTATATACGAACGAAACCGTGATAGCCGATGTAAAATTTTACCGTAGAGAAAAGTTTTATAGTGGCGTGGAAGAGCAAACGTAATAGCGGGGCGTAGCTAGTGTTTCTGTTGCTCGAACAGATTATTTTGATGTCTCGAACAGCACGGCTGATACTCGCCGCGATATGATTTCCCTTGGAGTTCTTCGAATATAACTTCTTCTCGAGGCCGGTGGAGTCGTCGCATAAACTTTCCCAGAGCCGGTGTGTATTTTTGGAGTCATCAGCCGCGTGTAACGCGCGCGCCCTGAAAGCTTCAGAGAAGAACGAACTTTATATCTTTTTCATGAATCTACTTCCCCCCCTCTCTACTTCTCTCCTCTCTTGCACCGCGCCGCGTTATGAGCCAGAAAGCACTAAACTAAATTATTCGGTTGACAAGTAAGAAGGTGATCCGGTCTTTGTATATGAGTTCACCGAAGTCTCTTCCGCTTTGACGTTTCGGTATCGATGCTCGCGCGTAATGGCCGACGTTTTCTTTTCTTCTTACGTCGGTTCGACCCCGCGCCTTGTTTTTCCCTCTAGTTCTCCAAACAAATGGGGTAGAATGGAAACGCGAGTACAATTTGTAAACTGCAAGTTGCTTCGAATACTGTAATTTTTCTTCCGCTTTTGAGTTCGTCGGTGTGCAGGTTTCAGGTAAGGAAATTAGCTCCTTTGAGTGAAGTTTGGATTATTTTAAGGTTAGGAATGTATAGGGTTGGGTAAGACCTTATTTGACCTCGAATGATCCTTAATAGCATACTGAAATTACCACAATAGTGGCCTATCGTACAACCATAGAAAAAAAAAATGTATCATCTCGTTCGTAAAAATAGAGATGGCCTTGAAATTAGTTTTTCAGTTTTATGAAACTTAGTATTTGAAGCAAAATTTAAACGGTATTGCAAGATTCTGAAAAGAATTATCTTTGTTAGTAAAGAATTATTCTAAATTAAAATGGTCTCCTTAAAATAATCGCAAGAATGACGACCACATCATATGTCGTCAATTTTTCTCTTCACACACAAGATATTAAGTTACACGCACAATATGGGTATTTTTCAATTAAGTTTCATATTTTTACAAACCATCATAATGTGCAGGAGGAGTTCCCTTAACACCGGACGGCACCTGATATCGGACTTTAGTTATATCTGCAATAATCGAACCGCTATCGAGCCATTATTCTGCGTATCTCCTAGAGGAGACAAAGGGAATAAAAATAAGTTTTCTACACGTTTCAGTCGCGTGTGCACAAGTAGAGAGATCTATTTAAGAAAAACCTTAAGCGTCCAGCGCTAGGGGAACTCCCCCGATAAAGAATAATGAAAAATACCTCTCCTATTTTTCTCACAAATCTGGAAATTAATAGCTTGAACACCCTGTAATTTTTACCAATATGTATATGACACTAACTTTCTCAAAGAAATTCAATTTAAATCACATAATACTTTCCGTGCTAACATAACCAGCGTCCCAATACTGCATCAAACTATTCAAACTTTTATTTTTCAAACTTAAAGTCTAATTACCGTACAACGTATCACGTTCACAAATACGAAAAAGGTACACAAAACAGATGAAAATTATCTCCATAATTTCAACGCTGAGATATAAGATGCGTTTAACATAAGCTACCCTAATCATCCCTCTACGAAAATAGCAGACCAAACTCGACTTCCATACGTCCGACTACATTCTTCCCCCGTATTCTGTCCCTAGAAACGGCTGTTCGATATCGGCGATCATTACCGAAGGTCCGATGTCCCTTAATTGATCTCAATTAATCCAGCAGGGCGAATAATTCCAATATTCGAGCCGGCTTAACTTTAATCTCAATTTGTACCCGGTCCCCGGGCGGCAGTGTTTAGCCGTGTAAATCTATCCGGTAATACAAGAGGTGCAACAACGGCAACGAACACTCGTGAACACGCGCAATGGTAACCTTTATCAACGCAACAGTATCCCGAGTGTCCTCGGGACTTACCTTCGTAGAAGTTTCCTGCGTCGAATACACCCTTACACATACACACCCATGTAAACCCTCTTCACGATACTTCGGTTTAACCGTAAAACAAGGTACGCGATGTATCTGCATCCTCTTATACACCGAACCTACTTTCGTATGCTCTACACTCACCGGTAAGTGCTCTAAATTATCCGACCGCCCGACACAACATCCGATGTATAAAGTAGCAGCCAACCAGGGCGACCGATGAATTTTCCTCCCGATCCTCACGACGGAGCAAGAAGAGAAAACAGGAAATTCCCGGAGAGTTACACAAAGGTAAACCGCGAGAACGAGGAGCGGTAATTGCTACGTCGAGACGTGTAGTATACCTACCTCGCGTTGAACGTTGTTTCAATTTTTCCCACTTTTTCCCACCCTCTGCATTATAGCGAAATTTTTGCTCCTCGCTGAACCCACCGTCACTCCAGCGGTTCACCTAGCTTTTCAAAAATATTTCATGATCTCGCTGGGAAACTGAATGAGAATTGGGCCACGGAATATCGCCCAGAAGCCTTTGGATTCCTTTACCCTTTTTTTCTTTGTTATCCTACCGTCGCGTCGTTTCGAAAGGGGTTCCCGGAGAGATCCGAGGAAGTCTTGAAAATTGGAAAGGGACACGATGTACCGGTGAAGAATTTTCAAGGTGTTTGTTCACTTCCCTTTTTTCTCTCTTTTTTACGTTTATCGTAAAAGCGGCGAATCGCTGTTGAATCGCGTCGTTGGCACGTTGATAGAGCTTCTTTTCGATCGGGCGAATTTGGTTTGGAGAACGGGACGAAGTGTTTTCTCGCTGTTTCGCAGTATGAATTGAAATGGGGACGAATTCGTAACGAATTCGGACGATTTTTCGTAAAACAATATGTGTAATTAATATTCAAATAAGGCAAGAATTAAGTGAACTAATAATTTTCGAAAAAGTTGTTACGAATCGCAATAGCCTGGTCGCGGAACGTTAATCATCCCTCTTTTCGAGTCGAACCATTTAAGGAATCTACCAGGGATAGGGGACTCGGGTAGTGCACGGTA